AGCCACGGGCCAGCCCTCATATCTTAGGAACTATTTTAATGTCCTTTACATTAAAAAAAAATCATATTACTGTTCTGTAGCTTATTTAACCATTTCTCCACACTTTGTATATTAAAACAAAAAAAAAATCACAAGCAAGCTAAATGTTAAACAATGCTTCATTGAAAATATTTTTAAATGTACCTTTCTCTTCAATTGGCTTATGACCTTAGAATGGATTTCTTTTTTTTTCTTCTTTTTTTTTTTTTTGGTGGCTTGCCAGTAAGGGCTTCTAACCCTTGACCTTGGTGTTACCAACACCTCATTCTAACCAACTGAGCTAATCAAAATTGTTGTGCCAATTTAACCATTCACCCACAAGCACTGACTATTTTTTAAAGTGAACTGATTTAATAGGTGAAAATGGATGTCATTATTTATCTACCTAATGTACTTTTATGCATAGGCAAAACTGAGATGTATTCACAATACTTAATTTCATGTCTCTGAACCTTAATTATTGATATTTTGCTCTTGTTTTATGCAGCAATGTATATCCTCCCCTGTATCTTAAATACCCATGCTTTCTAATTTTCACCTCAACTTCTGGTTATGTTACGAGGGTGGCTTGGGGTTCATCTTGATTTTCATCTGTTTCATTCTCTAAAAATGATAATTCTCCAAAATTCACATTCTCCAAAAATAACAGGGCCCTATACCCTGGTCTATACAGAAATGTTAAATTATTATTTTTTTCTTCTTGCCCATTAAAATAACAAGATACAAAGCAAATAAATAAATAAATACAAAAAGAACATACTACATACTATTCAGTCCAGACTGCCAGCAACTCAGAATTCCTCCTTTCCATAACACAACCTGAGTATAAGGACTTAAAAATTACTGTCATCCTTATATTAGATGTTGTATTCCTGGTCAAGGTCTAATGTTGTGATATCTGACATTTATCAAATGAGATTACTCATTTGAGGTTAAATGTAACTTTAATGGAAGTGCATATGGATGGAAACCAGCATGACTTGATGTGCCCCTAGGGACTCTACTAGGTATTTTTCCTTTTTAATTTAATTTTATTCTTTCGTTGTACATATGGGGTACAGTTTGTTGTTTCAGTACATGCTTATATTGTATAATGATCTACTAGGTATTTTTCTTGCAACCTCCCATTTAATCCTCATTTACTTCTGCAAATCATGGGGATCTTCATTGTTATTATTATAAATATTATTAATCTTAGACGTTAAAAATCATACAACTGTCGAATGGGAAGGGCAGAATTCAAACTCAGGTAAATCTGACTGCAGTTCTTTTCAGGGATGACCTATGGATCAAATTATTGGTTCTAATACCACCCCCACCCTCAACTCTCACTTATTCTCAAATTATCAATTATGAATCTTTCAAAGAGGCTTGTGGAATAATTTTCTTTACTTTATAGTGGAAATCCACAAAAGAAATAGTTAAAGAAAAGGGAATAAAGAAAATGCCTGAAAGCCTGATGGATAAATCCATTTTTTTTTTTTTTAAGGATAATGGCTTGTAAGTTTTGTTTTATCTAAGAAAAGCTGCTAACCTTCCTGTTTCCCTTTGCATCTTTCTTTAAAGCTACACCATTTCCAAACAGCTTCAAGTGTTTTACCTGTGAAAATGCAGGGGATAATTATAACTGCAATCGATGGGCTGAGGACAAATGGTGTCCACAAAGTAAGTGTGCTGAGTTTGGAAGACTCTTTCATGATCTCACTTCATTTAGGTCTCTCCTGATTTGCTGGGAACAGGTGGTTAGCATACCAACAGGCTGACTGATGATGTTCAAGAGGAATCAGAGATTTCTTCT